GAATTCCACTGCTAGCCGTCAAGTAGACTGTAAATAATCTTTGTTAGGCGTCATTGTGAGAGAAAAATTCAGCTAATATCTGATATAGCTTTCATCATCTATGTTTACAGAATATTTCGCTACCTTATCATCTTATACACTTTGAATATGCTGTAGAGTTGTAGTTCTTACCGCATACATTTATTTATGTACTGATTTATCCTCCTTCTATAAACCTCAGCATCACAGGGGTATCACTAATGATAAATTGCACACCTTTATGCATTGAAAGCTTTTGTTTAGTGCTTTCTTTAAAAGGTTTTTCATGCACATGCCGACTCAGTAAAATATATACAGTATATATTTAGATATAGTGAGAGCGGATAGGTAGGTAGCTAGGCAAGAAAAGTTGGCGAAACTTGAAATTTTATTTATTAATACCTATTTTTGTTTATTAAGTGTTTATTCTCCAAGTATGAGAAAGTAAAATTACATAATTCGATTATGTTTACAAAAAAGATGGGCATTTCTCTCCTCTTCTATTTTGAATGTTGTTTTACCAGTGTATTTGGCTGTTTGATGTTCAGTAGATTTTTTTCGTGAAACCTATCGTTCTCCTTTGTTTGTGTTTTGTATGTGCTCGTGAGATGAGGATTGCATGTTTGGATAGACTGACTGTTAATCACAATCATAATAAAGTCAGAAATCTATTGACCTAATTCGTGTTTCCTATACAAATTTTTTCCATTACAAATGGATAAACTGATTAGTATTTTTTTGAAGGAAAACAAGGTGATCTTCAATTTAGGCATTGGGGTAACAGAACATCGGTAGATTATTTGGTAGAAAAATAAGTGATTAGGGAAAATTAATAAGAGGAGAATTATTACAATGCGTGAGATGAATTTGTTCCGGTGATACAATCAATTATAATCCAACTTCATAACTGCATATTTAGAAGGGAATTTATTGGCGTAGACATAGTGAATAATTCCATTGAAAGTTTGAAATAATTTAATGGAGGAATATTTGTAAAAACTTTTATCTTGATGTAACTTACTGATAATTATTCTATTTTTTGTCCACTTTTATCGTATTTTAAAATAAATACTTATTTGAGATGAGTCGTTTGCTGTATAAATCTCATTTTTCCAATCCCAAGTTTAGCAAAATGTTGAAATTGATTTGATTCTGAATACTTATGTTAGAATTTCAAGAACTTGGTATGTGAGTGTTTCGTTGTCATTTAGCGGTGACGTTTTTGATTATTTTTCTTTCAAATGGAGACACAGTAACCATGGTTTACGTCACCATACATTATCAATAATCAGGCAGCACTTACCAACTATCATTAATTTTTTCCCCTTGGGTTACTAGTAGAACATAGGGCTTCAGTAACATGTCTCCATCCCACTCTCTTCACTGCAGTCTTTTCAACCTGGCTCCACAACTCCCCACAAGCTTTCATTTCTTCCTCACATGATCTCCTACATGTCACCCTCAACTGGGACGCCCAACTCGTCGTTTCCTATTTGTGTCCCAGTAGACGGCTTGGCCTGGTGCGTGATGTCCTCAATCGGTCTTCTCAGTGTATGTGCATTCCAATCCATCTCCACTCTCGCCTTCATATTTGTTGAGTGATGGGTTCTTGGTTGGTTCGTTGCCTGATAGCCAGCCAGCTAGGCAGCCAGCCAGCCAGCCAGAGTTCCTCGTTGTTTATTCTTACTATTCTGGCAATCCATCTGATCTTCAGTGTCAGTATGGAGTGAGTGTGGTTGGCAGCTGTTCATGAATGTCTGTAGTTTGTTGGAAGTGCTTTTCGTGACGCACCAAGTTTCTGAACCACATAGAAGCAATGACTTGACTGACATTGGTGTTGAAAATCCGTATGTTGTTCACGCTTTATGCTGAGTGGAGTGGAGTGGAGTATATCTCCACACTGGTATCAGATTGATGGAGGTCTGTCTTGTTTTTCGATCCTGTCTCTGACGTTCTCATCTGTATCGCCACCTGTAGTTGAAACGATGCTGCCTAGGCAGGTAAGTGAAAGAGACTACTTCCTTTAGATTTCTACCATTAATGGCAATCGGTGCTTGTTGTTTTGGTAGTGGTGATGGTTGAGTATCTTCGTCACCTCTGTCTTCTCTACGTTCACTTGAAGTCCAGTCTTCACTGCCTTGCCTCTTCTGTCAACTTGTTGGTTTTGGCCTGTAGATCTTCGAACTTGTGTGACAATAGAAATAAATCATCGGCGAAATCCAAATATTCTTTCATCGGTCCAGCAAGCATCTGCCCATCTTCTCGCTCCTCACAGTTTATTGTGTGATCCAGCTGACCAAAATCAGGAAGGGCATCAGTGATAATTGGCGGCAACTTTGTCTTACTCGCGTCCTCCCTTCAAAGTGGTCACTGAGCTTTCCATTGTGAATCACTTGGTATGTGGCGTCTTCATATAGCTGTTGAATGAGACTGATTAAGGGTAACTAGTTAGCCAATTAGTAAATCTGTGAAATACAAAAATATATGACAGATTTAATCATCATTTTATCATTTAATTAGTAAGCCCAGTTACTAAACTCATTCAGTTCCTTGTGAATACAATGTGAGTACAAATCGCTTTTTTAGGAAACTTGTTACGTAACACACTTTATGTATCAGATAATTAGGGGTGAATGTGACTGTGATAACTGACACTGAATGTAGTAGAGCAGATCAAGTATTTCTCGATGAGGTTAATTACGTCATCAATTTACTACCTAAATGATCACTGGATGAGTTGACATCAATCGTTTGTTTTCCTTTACTACCACATTCAGAAGTCTTTCTTTATTTGACTTCATAAACTTGACATTGCTATGTAAATATAATAATAGTATACTATGATCGCATAATGAAATATTTACTAAAGTTCTCTTAAAGCCATCATTAACACGATAAGTGAATGCTCCAGATGATGCAGAACACACTGAAAATTATCTGTCTGACAAAAACAACTATCTGTAAGTTGAGAATGAATAGATGAGACTAAATAGCTGTCTCAGTCAATAGATGATTCTTAATAAGATAGGGTAAAAGGAATCACAAGAGCAACGGTTTCAGACTGACTTACAGAGACCGAGTAGAACATCTTACAAACTCTAGAAAATTATTTAGCTGACATTGCGTTTATAGATAAATGAAGTTTTTTGTATTGAAATAATTCATGCACACTGCATAATTGCTGTCTCACCGACGGATATGAAGTCTATAACGCTGGTCAGTTTTTTTTATCAACCCTAATGGATCACAGCAGTAGTGCAGTTGAATTTAATGATGAATTTGAAATTGAGGATGCATGATATCCTACTGCATAAATAATCTTGAAACCGTTAATTTGGTTTGAAATTCCCACTTTCACATTAGCTAGCATCTAGTAGTATTAAATAAATAATTATATATTATTCATAAAATTTACGATTTACAGTTCTACATCCATACAGAAGTCTATTATACATTCCTTTGTCATGAAATTAAAAATAATAATTAATTTTTATCTATAGTTAATCTTAAAGGTGCTTGATTTCTGATAAAGCATCACACTAAACAAACTAAAACCTAGATAAACAAAGTTATTAAGACCAATGGTTTTAAAAAAAAGTTGTTTGTTTTTATGCCTTGATTGCATCATTAGTTGATGTAAGCACACGCCCCCCCGCGTCAGAAAGAGACTAACAAGACAACATAAATAAGGTTTGTATTCAGATTCAGTAATGATTTGGGTGTAGTTTTTTAAAGAATGAAAGTACACATTTGAATTATCATCCGTAAGGAAGGGGGGCGGCATAAGTTGACTTAGATTAAAATAATAATGGGGAGTAGACGACGTCTAAAGCATGTTAATGGTAATTAAATCAATGTAAGACTAAATAAATATTTAATTCAACACTGATTGTTTTTGTAATCAATTCCAGTTGTCTGTATTGCTGAATATTACTTATATTCTTCATATACAATTTAGTGCGTCCAAAATGATACAACATTGGTCATCATCATCTTCAACTACTTTCCCTGACGAACGTAGGAAATGTAATGAAAACTAGATCTAAATGTTGTAGTACAGTGATAATATAACCCATAGAATATGTTAGTATTCATTCCGTATACCTGCAGTGGCTTCAATTGTCAGTTGTTACTTCACAAAGTAACGTATGAACCTTATTCCTCTATATAAATTCAGGTATAAATTTTTTTCTAAATTCTTATCATATTCTCATTCAGCGGAAAAAATAACAATGTTATTTCCTTGATTGTAGCATCATTCTTCGTATAATCTTAATTGTTTCAACATGACAAGTGAAAATATTAGTGAGATTGTTCACCTGTCAAAAAATTTGCCTGATATGTGTCCACCAAAAACCAGTGATTCAATGAAAGGTGAGTAAAATACTAATTAATTAATTTTAATATTTTAATGATAAATATATATTGCTACACACTTCGAACACCAGGTAACATTTTAGTCATGTTTACCGTAGGCGAACAACCGTACGAAAAAGATGAAGTGTTTGTGGGCAGTAAGAAAAATTTCAAAGTGTATTAACTGTTTTCTAAGGATTTCAACAAGAGTAAATCAGCAAAGATATTATTCCAACTACCTTTATATCGATGGAAAAAAGATGTTTGCGCCTGGAGGTTTTTTTCTCAAGTAGAGGAGCAACAAGCAGTAGAAATCGAGGGAGAGAAAGAACGGTGCTAATAATTAAAACAATATGTATGCACTGCAAATATTAGGCATTATTTCATAGTTTGACAAATTATAATTTTAACGAATCATTTCAATAGCTATCTGGTGAATTACACAGCCTAAAGTTAAACGTGAAAAGAATCTTCCTTCAAACTCAATGATATGTTGAATTGTGTTATACACTACAGTATTGAAGTTTATACTCACGATACATTTTCAAAATATCATGATTTACAATGTCGCAAAATTTTCTAATGACCATGTTCTGACTTACACTTTACTCGCGAAATTATACATAATGATTTCAAATAATAATAAATGCTGTATGACATTTATTATACAAGCTAAAATGTGCTCTGTCGGTTTCTTTTTCTTCAAAACAGATAGTGGTATCGGTACAACTTATTTTACAACGTCATCGACATCCTCGTCAAACAACACAAGTCCAGAATCAGATAAAGATTTACTACTGTTGCAGGTATGAATAATTTTGTTGTTTTTACCTATTATTGCTGCATCAATCTATAGAATTATTTTTAAATGATCCACCTAAAGTATTGTAATGGATTTATTTAAGTAGCTTGATAGGTAGACTGGAAGCAATTTGCAGGTATTTGCTTCAAAGTGAATTTTAATTCCTTGACATCGAAGACATGCATTAATAGTGGTGAATGAGAACAAAAGCTTAAGCATTAGGTGTATTTAACTGATTAATATTTTATTTTCATGCCTTCAGGGATACGCTATGATTGTTGATTATTCCAGACTACCAAATGTTACCAAGTTGTACAGTGATGCAGAATACTTTTCAAAGAGTATTTGAAGTGACTGTCGCTTGTAATAATTTCAGTGCAGATAAAAAGCTTAATTTGCCCAACGCTAAATAGGTTTATTATGAACTGAACACTTATTAGATATAATTAGTAATAAACTCATTTCCAGTGGGGAAAATAATCAAAATCAAATTTTTGCGGATTTCAGAAATTTGCACCATTCGAAACTGATTAAAGGTGTAACATGTTGGTAGGCATCCTGTAACGTATTTGTCAATATCAAATTTTCAGTAACTTTTCATCTTATTACTAACAATCTTTTAAAGAATTAGAATTTTATGCAAGAATAAACGTTTAATGAGATGTGCATCATTCTCATAAAAAATAATGCTTAAATTGTACGTATATTTCTGTATTTTTCGTGATAAATATCGATTATAAGTGTTTTATCATTATAAACTTTGAAAATAGTCTTAGCTTTGCTGAATATTAACCTCTTACGTAATTGATCTTAATTTTCTCGATTTCTATTTTTTTAGAATGAGAAAACGCCGAAACATTTACCAAAATCCAAAATTGACGCTACATCAACACCGGCAACACAAATTAAACGTCACAGATTAGAAAGTGAGAAACGTCAAAAGTATTCTAAAAAGTCGAGAGGTATTGACGATACGTTATGCTACGGGACGTCGATGAACACAACTGAAGATATGGGTACAGTAAACATGTCGTCTTCATCATTAGTAGTATATTGTGAAAATGAAGAAAGGAAACAATATCCATTAAAAAATATTCAGTTGGAAAGCCAGGACAATGTTACACCGATTTCAGATGGACAAAGAAGATGGAGTACGAAAGTTAAAAGTGCTCAACAGACCTCAGTTTCACTGAAATTAAATTTGCGTATAGCTGATTTAATTGATATATCTGAGACAGATGAGATGACATCTGAGCCAAAAATTACTAAGTCAACATTGGCAAGTGTTGGAGGAAGGCGAAGACAGCGGCGCATGCATGCATGTGAACATTGTGATAAGCAGTTTGATCGCCCATCTTTACTTAAACGTCATACCCTTACGCATACAGGTAAGAAATATGAAACTCGTGTAATTTTGTGTAAAATAATTGCGATATCCTCCAAGTTTAATGCTATACTGATAGCAAGATAGATTATCAGCACGTCGGTCGAAGAATAAGATGAAAATATGCAGTAAAATATAAATGTGTTAATTAGGAATGGTGAGTAAGAACCAGTTATTTCACAAAGACTTTGCGGTTGAAATTCGTTATGATTTAGGACTAACAGAGAAGGAAAATACATAAAGCATATCCGAATATCACAAACTGCCTAACTTCAAGTGTATTGTTGATTTAGTGTGATTCATATCCATGCAGGCAATTATTTACCAATGATTAGATGTTAACTGTGGCTGTTCTATGGACTGGGGTACGTCTTCTTTTCGTAGGAAACATTTCATTCATTTCTGCATTTCATTTCAGGCGAACGTCCATTCGAATGTAAATATTGTTCAAAAGGGTTTTCTACGCGAAGTGGTGTGAACACACATGAACGTACACACACAGGACAAAGACCATATGTTTGCCGGATCTGTGGAAGACGTTTTGCTGCTGGATCAAATCTTATATTTCACAAATATACTCACACAAATGTAAGTAGAGAACTTTTATTCAGTGAATGATGCCAAATGGCAATATTAGTAATATTCCTCACTTACATGATACAGTCCGACATATGATGTAATATATCGGCATGTTCAGTCGTACAGATAATTGTTGATCAGTTGCTAAAGGAATAACAAGTAGTTTGAGTGCGTATTAAGTGTAATCAGATTTCACATATCTGACCTACATATGCAATTGAATACTAGTATAAAATGATGTGAAAATTACTTCCAAAAACTTTAAACGATATCGTTAGTACATCCTATGACCAAAGATGAGATGCACTACATATAATTTACGATTTGGCTTATAATGCTTATCAAACTGTAACATATAACTCAATCTGAATCTAACAGGTGATTTCACTTCATTAGAACGATCTGAATATTTAAGTTGCTGCCATTTGACCATAAAACTGTTACAGCAGATGACATGGATCTGTTTTTCATACAGCAAATAATGGAAATTAATATATATTTTTGGCAGTAGATTACATTGATTGCAGGAGTTTTTCGGTGGTCAATTAACTTTCACTAGATTTATTCCTCTTGGGGTTGTGACATCATTTCATCTGATTTTTAAAAAGTTATATGTAAACATGAAATGAGTTCAAGTGTTTTACACTTAATTTCAGACACGAAGACATATGTGTAGTCAATGTCCCAAAGCATTTGTTACACCTGGAGATTTAAGAAAACATGAGTATACGCATACAGGAGAATGGCCATTCCGCTGTGAGTTATGTGATCGTGGTTTTGCAACTGAACGCAATTTGAAGTCTCATGAAGTCACTCATACAGGTAAGCAGTGATACGATAGAGTCACTGAAGTATTTCCATATTTTATGTATACACCGGTGAAATCTAGTCTTCTAAAAGCTGCATTTTATATTAAGTAGGATTCCAAGCTTAAAGTTTTGGATTTCCTTAACATACTGTATTTGCTAACAGTCAACCTAATACCTGCAGTTTCTAGGCTGATCAAAATGTAGTTGGCTGCTTAACTCATGTGTAGCTGTTCTAAATAAGATAATCTTACACTCAAATTACTATACTTCTGTACCAGACATTACATAAAATTTTCCATCCGCCTATAATGCACACCAACGTTGATACTTTAAAGAAAGTGGTAGTAAAGATAATCCAGTGACTACTTAAGATCAGTCTAAAACGTTTCATCATAAATCTATTAAGATAATTTGTTAACTGCGGAAGACTTTGAAATGGTCGGTTGTACTTTTTTGTGCAGAGACAGTGGATAATGTTGACTCCTGGAGTTCATATAAGACCTGTATATTGTTTAAATCGCGTTTTTATGCCTTCCGTTTCTTTTAACAAATGAATTTAAAATCTGAAGTTTTCAACACACTCAGCTGAACTGCTAATTATCAGACTTTCTGTCAAATAAGAAATTGTTCATAAATACTCTAATTTTAGGTCGGAAACCATATACCTGCAATATATGTGGCAAAGGTTATGCGCAAGAAAGTTCAATGAAAACACATATAAGAACACATCAAAGTGAGTTCACGTATTGTTGTAATTAAACTACTTTTTTAAACGGTTTTTCCAATAAATTCATTAGGTTAGAAGTTTAGGAATCGACTCCATGATCATGTCAAATGATAAAGTGTGTCCTAATAGAATAAGAAAGCCAGTTCAAGGTTGAATTAACTCACCATTGAATGAATAGTAGCAAGTAATATAAAGAATGAGGTGCAGACGAAACACTAATGGTTTCATCCACATCACTGTTATCATTTTAGAAATATCAATCAATTGATGACCGTCGTAAACTGCTTTAGACAAGCTAGCTACTGTGTATTAAGTATTCATTTAATAATCTTGAATGTAATCAGGAGTAAACACCACCAACCTGAACTTCAATAGGCTACCATTATGCTCGAAATTTTGTAGTTTACACAGTTTCTAGTGGAATGTCTAAAGTTGCTGTCGATCTACTCTGTAGGAAGTGAAAGTGGCTTAATTCATGCTGCTAAAGATTAGTGTGGTCGTCATTAGAGCACAGCAATCTTAGAAACAACTGTGTGCAAGCGAAGTACACAGTATTTTAGGTAGTTTAGTGTCCTGCCACTTTATTCATAGTCTTGGTTTAATTAATAACACTTGAATTATTAGTGTCATACCATGTGACTAGGTAAAATTACTTTTTATGTATTTCTTAGGAGAAAATCAAGTTACTACAAAAACTAAAAAGCTCTCGAATAATGTACCGAATGCCTCAAAAGATCCTTTGTCCAATTCGCCTAAGAAAGCAGATACACATTTACAAAACAAATCCTCCAGAACTCTGAAAGCAAAATTTTCAAATGGTGAATATGTATCGAACGGATCATTTGTGGAAAACCCTGACGCTTCGAATAAAATCTTTTCATCCGATTCATCAGCCTCAATAAATCCAGTGTATCACAATCAACATTCTTCAGCATTTTCTGTACCAAAACATCGTTTAAATCAAGCTCAGGAATTAAGTAATCCAATGAGTCTTAGTGTAAACGAATCAACTTATTTGAATTACGCTTCATCCTGTCCAGCAACATTTCCACTCTCATTATCATCTACATCAATGTGTTCCATGGCGAACCCCCACCCCACCAACTTTCTGAACTATATGAAAGATATCAAATATTATACAATTGTTATTTGAAGGCAATAAGTAATCAAAATATACCGCAAACTCTCGTCCCTTACGATACTCTAAATAACATCAATTTGCAAGGTGTACCCATATTTCCACCGGCATTTACATATTCTTCGAACACTAATATTCCTATAACTCCTGGTAAACAACAGCTGATAGCTGAATATAACTTCGTAGGTCTACCCGAACAGTCTTGTCAATATTTGTTGCAAAATCAACCAGAACCAGTTCATAGTTCTGGCCATTATCCGTTGTGGATACCACAATCGAGTAATAATTCGCAACGCTATGGTGCAAACATTTGTAGTGCTTTCCTTAATCATAACGCACATAATAACCTATTAACTTATGTAACTTCTAATTCAACAACCAATAATCAGTCAAATATATCTGTTACTAGTAATATTAACAGCCATAATAATATGAATGTTAGTACATTTACTACTAATGAGTGCGATAATTTAGAAATTCAGGCATTAGATTACTCTACAAAAACTTTATCCAAAATGGATAAAATATTTCACTAAAACTTGGACATTAACCAATCACTTACCAGCCTACTTAATTCTTTTTATGCTTATCTGTGATATGGATGGTGGTTACTGAAAAAAAATTGATTCAACTGACAGTAATTTTTTGAAAAGCGCCCTTTGTACATATGTGTGCTTCCTGTGAATTATGAAAAGAATAAATAATTTATATAACTAATGGCAACATTGTTTTATTTCATGAAATTTTTATGCGGGAATTGAGTAGTCAATTGGAAATTATTAGTATTTGCCAAAACTCTGAATCAAATTTTCTTCATTGGTTAAGGTATAAGGTTTCGCCTACTAATCGACAAACGATAGTGTTGCGTAGCTATTACTTCAGAACGCACAAATCTAGTCGAGTATCAGTGCAAATTAGGATGCTAGTATGCTTCTAACAACATTGAGAGACTGTTTTGTAATATGGCCACTAGAAGTATATAGAAAAACAAGTTGTAGCAATCCTAGTTCGTGTTGGATGGTGTGATTTCTTGGTTTAGATGATTATTTTAACCATGATATCTGAATGTCATCCGACCACTATATGAAATTTATGTTAACTATTAACAATAGAGGGGTCAGGATATATGTGATGTGCATTGTTTCTTAGGTTCGTGTAAGATAATTTAGCATTGTGTGAGTGGTGAAATTGTAACAACAGATAATTCACAAGGTAGATCTTCTGACAGAGAGTACATTTCCAGTACAAGAGGGTTATAAGTGTAAAACAAAACACAAGTATGATTGGGAAATAAACAACCACTTCTTCGATTATTTTGCTTTTGCGGGTATTTCTGGCATCAATCAAGAATCCGCACAGACAGACATAGATATCTATCAGACATACATGTCGCACACATAAGTGTATGCAATTAAACCGAGATTATTCTAAATTTTTAGTAACGCAGGAAAAAGATCAAATCATATCCTTTCTTAGTATCTTCTCGTCTGACCGAAGCACACTAAATCAGTCATTGAAATAACATCTACCCGTACTTCGAAAAAATAACCTTGTTAGTTAGTATAGGCCATTCGGATAATAAGGTGACATATGTTCAGGAATCTTGTTAATGTATTCAAAAAATCTTTTAACCTTTGTATTACTAATAATATCTACTGAAAGCTTTTCACAGGTCATCTTGGATAAATCAACCACCAACACTTCTGTCTTACATGACCATCAAACTTAATGTAGATTCATGTTATCATGCCCCATCATTAATTTAATATTTAAAATGAATAAATGAACACCTAATAATATTATCTGCTCATCCCCAACTTATTTCTAGTTCATACCAGAAGAAAAGAAATCAAATTGCGCGAACACTTGACAGTTTATAAAATACTTTACATTAGTATCATTATTCAGGGAATTATTATTACGCAAACAAGTAAGTAGATTAGATTAAAGATGAAAAAATATTTATTGGCCAGCTGTGTTCTTAAAGCAGCTTACACTTGTCCATACCTCCTTCATATGTATAGTATATACATTCTTTTTAATCTACTGTTGTATGTGTATACAGACTGCTGGGAATGAGTGAGTTAGCATGTTTGTGTGTGAATTCTAGAGGTTCGAATTTCATTTTATACTAATCCTTCTAAATTAGTAATATAACTACACCGCCCATTACATTTTAAAGTGTATGCTACCACTTACCCTTACTCTTCATGAATATCAGTCATCTGGGACCATTTGAAGTATCTTCAGAATAATTTTTAATTTTGGAAACAGATTCATACGATTATTTTCTCAGATTCTTATTTTCCACTCATATAATCCTCTGCTCAACAAAATATCACGTTTAGTTTAAATAACTTTATAAACAACCTATTATCTAAATAGCTAACTATTCTGGAAACTAGTTTTATTGAAACTATTATTTCAAGTCTTTTTCTGATACCTTTCAGAAAATCGAGATTATTTCTGATCTCATCAGCTGATGATCTTATACTAAGTTAGCAGCTACAGTGAGTAATGTAGCATAATTCGTCGTTAATTTAGGTGTTTTGACACTAATGGAATAAGCACCGCAATCCCTTCGGTAGTAGTTAATCCACTGAATCTAAAATCCCATATCTTAAAGCACTGATGACTTACCAATGATGGGTATTCAGTACGATTCTATTTGCAAGGTGTTAGATCGGGCCAGTGATATAAACCCCTCTGAAACTAATCTCAAATGTAGGAAAGACATATGTCGTAGGTAGATTTTCATTCAACGCATATCAACGTAGTGAAAACTTTTTTATTTAATTACTGGGAAGATATGAACGTAATTTTACCTCCCTATTGGTGGATTATATAACCCCTACTGAATCGCTGGGTTCCTTTGTCGTCTTATTGCTCTGTAGGCTTGAATTTATTATTACAGTGATACTTACATGAGTCTAGATTCCATAGTCTTCAGTGCCATTTCATGAAGAATTAACATATCAAGTTGCAGTCAAGAAAGGTAGTATTAAATGGTAATCTCTAGGCTAACTGCCCATAAAACAGCATTTGCAAGGGTCAATGAATAGTGTTATTGGTAGTAAACCAGAGATTCAAATTAGAACAGCTTAAATACATGACACATTTTAATCAAATACTAAACTTAGAGTCTGGATCATTAAAGATAGTTTCTAAGAAGAAAATCTCTTGGCATAGAAGCTAAATATTGTTGTTTGATACAGCTAATTCACCACTTCTATACAGGGTGGAACTGCTTGACTTCTGTTGACAAATGGGCCTAAATGTGGATGCCTCGGTACTTTATAATATTCATTGTGTTGTATTCATTTTGGTAACTAGCAGTGAGAGCCAAGGCGCACGTATAGCAACGGGAAATTACAAGTTTCAAACTACAACAAGTGATATTTGTTGCACCAGAGGTTGCTGTCTTGCCGCAGAGGCGTAGTGGATAACGCTTCGGTGATGGGCACTGGGTCCAAGTCTCAGTGATAGCAATATCACTCAATGAGGTGTAGGTACGTTCAACTGACGAGTCCCAAATGGGAAAAACTGCACGTCCTATATTCCACTGCTAGATACCAAGATGATGTTGAGTATTATTTTTATGCGGATCTGGATACTTAAATGTATCTTTATTCATGCCAACTATTTCAGTTGTCTATCAGTTAATATTTCAGTCTGCATGTTCATTTTATTGGTCACCACTACACACTAATATGTGACGATAAAATTTAAAGCATGTTATTTAGAATATTCTTCAGAAGTTAACGCTTTAATTGCGTAAAGAGATAGATGAAATGGGATAACGGAAACATATCCGAACACAGCTTTCAAGCGTTGCCTGAAAACTTGAGTAACTGAATGAAGGAATTTTTATTCTGTGTTTTTCGAAATCTCTGAACTATAGAAAGTGAAGGGACAGTAATAAACATGAAACAATAGAATTAATATTTGGGAAATAAATTCTTCATGAATGTACAGATAACTGATGCCAGGGTAGTATTCATCACGGACTGACATTAGTTGTATATGAGCACTGGACAGCTGTTTCGTCCCGGCGTGTGACTCCTCATCAGTACTCACCAACGACCAGGGTACAGATAGAATCTTGGACAGTCAGGTTTAGTGGAAAAACACGTTGCCATTCAGCGATGTCATTTACATTGTTTTCGGTAAATACATATTTTAGCATATATTTTAGCATATTTAGCACACTGGACTTTTACTTTGCATATGCATAAGATCCATGATAACTATTGATCAGCTCATCCGTAGTCACTTCTCACCTGTTTTCCCCCTTTCCCACTTCACCTTTTGTTTACTTACTGTATTTCATCACATAGTGAAGCACAGTTCAGCCAACTAGTGATGGTTAGAAGTGCAATCAGTCACATCGAATAATAGGTTACGTATAAATTTACCATCCCCCTATACATGAAATACTAATGTTGTTTAAAAAATTATCTTCACTTCCCAACGTTTTCCACTTGGTTGGTTGTTAGTATAGCTGTAATACGTTCCCCATTAGCCAATGATGTTATGATACCGAAGGATAAAAATTTAGCAGTTTTTTAAAAATAACCTATTATGGCTGCTTTATCTATTATTATCAGCACTACTGTTTATTAATACGCTGTTATGTAATCGAAGAATAACTGACCGAAATCTTTACCAACTTCCATGCACTTTGTCAGACATTATGGTTACTTAGAATAATGAGATAAATTCTCAGCCGTTTGAAGTTTTTCTACCAGTGTATGCGGTTAATTATGGATTTAATCCCTGGTTAGTTTGTTTATTATTCAAGGCAGAAGACCTGTTTTTTTCTGTTCATCATTAAAAGAACAAAGAGACAAGAATTTTAAGATATTTAAGACATTAATTGTGTGTGATACACATAATCACGAAGGTATTAGTAATGTCGACAGACAAATGACTAAAAAGAAATTTAAATCATCTACAGCTGGGTGGAGGAAATTCAATCAGCCTTCAAACACTTATTTTGTATTTCACTTTGAAGAAAAGCAATTTGTAGAATTTGAGTTCAGCATCAGCAAAACCACAAGTAGTCTTACAATATCTCAGCTCCATACTTCGAAAGCACCAATTAATTCATCCCTTATTTTGTTTTTGAAAAAGTCTGTAATATTCAGACCAAAGCAGGGTACACAATCGATATCACAGTCAGTCAATTTTCCATCCTGACTGGACAGAATAATAGTTTCTAAGGTACTTCGATAATACCGAAACCTTGACGAATATACTTTCATACTGGATTGTTTATTTGATATAGCAGACAGTGGTACAAGTGGTTTACTGATTGATATTTCTAGCAGAATTTACTACTCATATGAATATGAGTAATAATGTACTGAAATGTGAAACTAGACTCTACCACAGTGCCAAAGTTTTACTGTCACGTTTCACTAATATATCAATCATGATTGATGCTAGTACAAGACAAAGACAGTTGTGAATTTTGAAACGAATACTGTTCATTCCACAGGTATAACATATATTACTTCATATCCTAATACTATCT